TGATACTCTGCCATGCTTGTAGACAGGAGCTAGCATAACTGTCTCCTGAGACACTTCTAAATGAAGCATATGAAAACATGCAGAGACCCACAGCTAAACATCCAATGGAGCTCAGGGAATCCTGTGGAAGAGTGGAGGATAGAATTGATCAAGCCAGATGGAACAAGGACACCACAAGAAGACCTATAGAGTCAACTAACCTGGCCCCATGGGGGCTCAGAGACTGAACCACCAACCAACCAGCAGGGACTGGACTTAGGTCCCTACACATTTGTGGCAGATGGGAAGCTTGGTCTTCATATGGATCCCCTAACAATTGGAGTGGAGGCTCTCTCTGACTTAGTTGCCTGCCATCGGATCCCTTTCCCCTAACTAGACTACTCCAGGGTAGGCTTCCCCTTCTCTGAGAAGAAGAGAAAGAAGTAATGGGTGGAGGGATTTGTGAGGGTGGGAGTGGGGAGGGCACAATTTGGGATGTAAAGTGAATGAATAAATAAGTACATTTTAAAAAAGAAATTCATCTTTCAAAGAATAGTCAAATTACAGCAATGAAAAGCCTGTATTCTATGCACAGCTGATACGGAGTCTGTGGAAATGTTTTTCTTCCTATGGCTTCTAGTGTCAGAGCCCTTGCTGGATGGACTTTGCAACTTGTAACAATAGCTGCCTGGGTAGGACACTTATGATAGCTGGGTTTCCACAGAAGTTACGACCAACCCCCATCCAGTTCCACCTTCAAGTGATTTCTTGAATGTTTTCATCTGTCTTCTAGTCTGTTCAGCCTCAGTCTGATTTTAGAGCAGTATTTCTCACCATGTAAAATCATATGTGGGTTTGCATCTCAAACCCAGCCCCTCACACTGAGTACAGAAATACCCTGGAACACCAGAAGGAATACGGAGATGAAGGCGCTAGAGGATTCAAGGATGGGGTGAAGTGAGTCGTGGCATAAGGAGGCTGGACGATAAGGGCTGATATTCACGTTACCTGGGCCCTGTTTCCATTTCTGTTGCTATGACAAATTCCCTAATTAAAACCAGCTTTGGGAAGAAAGTGTTTATTTGGCTTATAATTCCAGGTTACGATCCTCTATTTCAGGGAAGTCAAGGCAGGAATTCAAGGCTAGTCATGTTCACAACCATAATCAAGAGTGATGAGAGGGTAGGTATGTCCTTGTTGCTTGCTACCTATTCTTGCACAATTTAGGGCCCAGCCAGTGGGTGTTCCTATATCAATTAAGACAAATTTCAAAAGACATTCATTCCCACAGGCCAATTTGGTCACAATTATATCCCATTAGGTCTCTCTTTCCTAACTAACTGGCACATCAGGCATAGGCCTGGGAGTCCAATCAGCATATCTGGAACCTGCATTTCAATGGGAAATTTGATATAAATTGACCCTTGACCATGCTCTAAGAGATATTGCCTATTATGAACTCCATTGAAATCCCTATCTCTAACTCACTTGCTGAGATTCTAACCCCCAAGATCTCTAAGACCATTTGGAGACAGTATCTTTAAGAGATAATTAAGATAAAATGAGACTATAGGGATGGGACCTGATCCAATATGCTGGCATCCTTGTAAGAGGGAGAAACTAGAACACAGGTGAGCAGGGACCCAGAGAACCATCTGAGAATACAAGTACAACTGAGTCTAAGGGGATGAGAAAGATACAGGGAGATAAACCTTGCAAACATCTTGATCATGGACTGTAGCTTCCAGAACTACTGGAAAACAACTTCCTGTTGTGTAACCTACCTAGTTCACATAGTACAGCCTTTTCCTACAGCTCCTCCAACAAGCCAATGAACTATCCTGGGATCATGAAGCACCAAAAGTTGGTGTCAACACTTTCAGTGAGGAATATGGAACCCAGGAACGTATAGCAAGGATCTAAAGATGGAAGAGTGAGTCAGTGAATAGCATGTGTGTTCTTTTGTGATTGGCTTACCTCACTCAGGATGATAATTTCTAGTTCCATCCATTTACCTAGGAAACTCTCGAATTCATTGTTTTTAATAGCTGAGTTGTACTCCATTGTGTAAATATACCACATTTTTTTAATCCATTCCTCAGTTGAAGGACATCTGGGTTCTTTCCAGCTCCTGGCTATTATAAATAAGGCTGCTATGAACATAGTTGAGCATATGTCCTTGTTATATGTTCGAGCATCTTCTGGGTATATGCCTAGCAGTGGTATAGCTGGATCCTCAGGTAACGCTATGTCCAATTTTCTGAGGAACCGCCAGACTGATTTCCAAAGTGGTTGCACCATCTTGCAGTCCCACCAACAATGGAGGAGTGTTCCTCTTTCTCCACACCCTCGCCAGCATCTACTATCAACTACGTTTTTAATCTTAGCCATTCTGACTGGTGTGAGATGGAATCTCAGGGTTGGAGACAAAGTGAGGGACAGAAACTGAAGGAAGGGCCATTTCAAGACCACTCCACCTAGATATCTATCCCATGTGCAATCACCAAAGGTAGAAGCTGATGTGGAAGTCAGGAAGTGCATGCTGATAAGAGCCTGATATGGATATCTCCTCAGAGGCCTTCAAGAGTCTGACATACTCAGAGGCAGATACTCACAACTAGCCATTGAACTGATAATGGGGTTCTCAATGGAGGAGTTAGAGTGAAGACTGAAGGAGCTGAAAGGATTTGCGGTACCATGAGGAAAGCAACAATACCAACCAACCACAGCTCCCAGGGTCTAAACCACCAGCCTGGGAGCACTTAGGGGGGGATCCAGGGCTTCAGTTGAATATGTAAGAGTGGAGGGCCCTGCTGGGCATAGGTGGAAGAAGAGAACCTTGACCTCATGAAGGCTGGATGCCCCAGGGGGTGGGAATTTTGGGGGTGGGGAGGTGGGAGTGGGGGGGGGTAGATAGAGGTTACATCCACAGAGAAGAAGGAGGAGGGGTGAGGGGATTGGGGGTTCCTGGGTGGGTGGGGAATGGGATAAGGGGACAACATAGGAAATGTAAATAAAACATCCAATAAAAAAAAGAATGAGTCAGAAGAATGTGCCCCGCCCTGTGCCCCCATGGTTTATGAGGACAGAAAAGATGATTCTTGAGGGAAGGTCATGCCTCAGTTAAGGCAAAGAGCAGAGAACATGCTGGGCATTCCAGGTAAAACTAACAGATGTTTCCTTTGGGGTAACCTCACTATGATGAGAATCTACAATTGGCTTCAAAGATCTAAACAAATAAAAAGCTTTCACCAAAATACTTGATGGAGGAGAAACAGAAACAGCAAGAAAATTCTGGAAGCCGTCAAACAGCAGAAAAGTGAAACATCTTTAGTAAGGTGAGTCTCAGTGTGCTTCCTTGGGGGCAGTGCTGATATTCCCAAAATTAAGTGTGTTCTGGGGTCCTACTGCAGACCCACTGGATTGGAAATGCTATCGTGGAACCCAGCAATGTGTAGCTCTACAGTCCTCTATGTGAAAAGGCACCCTGAGAAAGCTGGTCAGAGCTATGAGTTGAGAAGTCATGAAAAGCAGTCCCTCCCTCCAAATGCTCAAGGATAAAAGTGCTGGGAAACTTCAGAAGACGAGGCCAGGGCACTGAAATAGTAAGAACTGGTTATAAGGTCTTCTTGAGCCCTGCAGGCACAGTGCTGGCATAGACGCAGAGATGGGTAGGAACAGATGCCTTTCTGCCTTCATGAACTACACACTACATAAACTCTCCATTGGATGGAGCTGATGTTATCGTATGTAAAGAGAAACGATGGCTTTGTTTTCTATGCAAATATTGAATATGCAAAAGTGGGAGTGGTGTCTCAGGACAGACAGTCATTGAACCAATAAGCACAAGACCTGCTCCGAGTCTGACTGTCCATAGCCAACCGTCTAACCATGGCAGAAGCTTCCTCAGTTCTACTTTGGGCTATTGCTAAGTCTTTTCAAGATAAGCATTCTGTAGTTATATACAGAATTAAAATGAAGAAGAGACAAAAATGGGAAGAAACACAGTACTAGTTGTAAGTATTGTCTTCTTAGTCTAATAGATGGAATGACTTCATTTGTAGATACTTGCTATCTGGAATATATATGTAATATCTACCTGAGTATCTAACTCTAATCAAGTTATTTCAACAAACATATCCAAAGCTTCTACTAAGTGTACAGCTAACTACAGAGTGTTCAGAAGTATCACATGATCACTTGTGAATTGAGATATTGAAATATTTAGGAGGGCTCCAGGAAGCACATCTGGTTTTAATTTTCTGTGTACATTACACTTTTTATGATTATTTTTCAGTATCACTTTTTAAATATTCCTGTTGAAAAATTAAGAGCAGCCACAAGGATAAAAACTAGGTTAATTTTCCTCCATACCAATTTTGATCGATTGGTAATGTCTGCTCTAGTGCAGCAATGGCTATCAAGCTCATTTCCGACATTGTGAAAACACTGTTATCACTTAGAAAGTAGTGTTTCCCAGAGAACAGAATAAAGTATTCTTCGTATTTGCCACTATGCTGCTGCTATAACCTAGAGGCAAAATGGCCTCCCTTTGGTCCTTTGAAAGTGAATGCTGGACTCCAGGTTAAAAAACTTAATCCTTCTCCTACTGGTCTCAAAGGATTCACTGGGTATCAGCTTAGTGTGCCATAAAAAAGTAAAGCCCAGATCCAGCTTTACTGTGTGGAGAAAACTCACCAAGTGAAAAGTAAAGAAGTTATTTCCTTTAATCTCGAGGAGCTTCTGGGTATCTTGCTTAATGAAGATTCCTCACATCCTCATGTGGCCAGCTTGAAAACCTGTCCATCTCCTTTCCCTCCACACCATACACATCACAAGGGAGTTCTAGCACCATGCCCTGGAATGGATTCTTCCAGCCAGTCTTAAGGCTGGAACTTAACTAGTCCGCTGCAGTGTTCAGAGAAGGCGATGATGCGCAGCAGATGAGACTTCCAGGCCCTCACTAGCTCAGCAAGTCAAGTCCCACTGCCTCCTGTGGCAGCCAATGGCTCAGTACTTACTTCCCATGATCCTCCGCACAGTTGGGCCTTCCGCCGTCATCTCCCTCACAATCTCATTGTCATCCTCATTGGCATCCAGCCAGCGATTGCAATTGAAGTTATATTTGTCCTTATTCAGAGTATTCATCAGAGTCATCTACAATAGGGTGGTCTTGAGGTAAGCAGGTGGGACCATCAGATATCTCACCCAAGCCCTGTGCTCCTCATTCTGTCATCCTAATCACTGTGTGTGTGTGTGTGTGTGTGTGTGTGTGTGTGTGTCTGTATGTGTGTGTCTGTGTATCTGTGTATGTGTGTGTCTATGTGTGGAGGCGTGGGCACACATGTACATGTGTGTGTTCTTTTTTTTTTTATTTTACCTTACTTGGTTTTTTCAAGACAGGGTTTCTCTGCTTAGTCCTGGAACTCACTTTGTAGACCAGGCTAGCCTCAAACTCAGAGATCAGCCTGCCTCTGCCTCCTAGTGCTGGAATCAAAGGTGTGGAGCCCTATGGCAGGCCTGCTGTCTCATCTTAAGAATGAGATCTCTTGGCTCTTGTAGAAGGCAGGTGATCAGATTGCTGTTTCTTTCTCTGGTCTCCTAGAAGCCCACATTCATTCACCTAGCACCTGGGAGGCAGGACTGGATGCAAATCCCATGGACACCTGAGCATTTTCTCTGTCTACTTTGAAAGGACTCTCCCTATCTGTCCCCATCAAAACATATGGCCCATGTCCACCCTTCCCACCTCCATCCTCACAAATACAGAAGCAAATGTAAATGATATGATCATGAAAGGTGATAGGCCTGGCTCCTCCCCTCCCTTCAAAGAACACCTTACCTTTTCTAAATGCCACCCAGAGCCAGGGTTCTGCCTATCATGCCATGCCCGGATCTTATAGAACCTGCCAAGATCTGGGAGCTCCATCTACAAGGAGAAATAAAAAAGTCTGTGTGGACACATTCACAGGAATACATCTGTCCCCAAAGCTGACCACAGGCAAGTGGGTGCTCCTTTGGGCTGCCTTTTCCCAGTAAGGATGGATTTGTTCCTAGCCACGCTCAAACAGTCCATTCTCCCACGTCCCTGGTAACCGGTGGCTCATGGGACCGAGACGGCTATGTGAAAGGAACGTTCAGTCTGGGCTAGTGAAACTGAACAAAAATAACTGACCCACAGTGGGATTCAGCCAAGAGATCTTCAGTAACAAAATCCATATGGCAGCCCTGCAAATTAGCACAGGGCCGCAGCCCCGGGAGTCTGCTGGGCACGGAGACAGACAAAAAGATCAGTACAGCGGCCCTGCCCTTTCCCCAGGGGCTCAGGTCTGGCAGAGAAGACAAATACATAAAGAGCAAAGAGCTTGATGGTGGAATAGAACTATCAGTGGGGTGCTCGGAAAGAAGAGCAGCAAATTACAGGGTCTTCCCCTTAGAGGTGGAGCGGCGCCTCTGAGGGCAGAGACTCACTCTTCGTACATACTGCAAAGTTCAAAGATGGATGTTCTTTCAAACGCTCCAAAATTCATATTTTTCCCTTAAATTTGGTCCTTACACTCGAATGCAACCAGGTTGAACAATATAACTGTGCTCTGGGCCTCTGAGTCCACACAATTCCCCTGTTCACCTCACTCTTGAATGCTCCCAGCATTCCTTGCTGGCTCTGTCCCCTAAACTTCATCTTAGACCATTTCAGGTGGAAGATCAAATATGAACTAAATCTCTTTCAATAAACTGCCTATAAATCATCAAATTTGCCATTGCTGTGGAAGTCCAAAGTCTCCAATGTACCTTTTGCCTTTAAACTTGGTCGAAAGTCTGGCAGAGAGAACTGAGATATCCTGTGCTCCCTGTTTCTTTTCCAATCCCCTCCCATCCATCACATTTCCTTCCTACCCTGAACTTCTCAATGATGCCTGGTTTGAACCATTTGTTGTTGGGATTCAGAAGAATCTCATCTGTCCGACCCTTCTTCCCATAAATCTGGATGAAGATGGGCGAGTTGGTGCCGGCTTTCTTCAGATCAGTTGTCCAGACCCAAAGGGACCAAGGAAATTCTACAAAACAGGCCAACCAAGATGCATCATAAGCTCCAAGTGTCAGTGGGGAAGAAAGACGGGGGAAAAAAATGAAAAGATCAGGATTGGAATTTATACATGATTATGTCTGCTCTTAGAAGCCGTTTAAACAAGTGCAGAATATATAACACGAAGGATCCTCTATTAAAATAAGACCTGTTAGTGTCTTACTTAACGGCTAGCGACGCACTACATTTTAGCGGTAGACAAGAGCTGCCTCCACCATCTTGTGGCTAGTGCATTGGGACTTGCTGAGTGAATCACGCAGCTTAACCCCATGTCCATCACAGCAGCTCCTTCAGTTTGGGGACACTGGTGATATCTCTGCAACAGTGCATGGCCTGTAACCTTGCAGAACCGAGCTTCGGTCTGGGGCCGGGTGGCGGGAGGTGGCTCCGGATTCTGGGTCCCTCAAACTTACTTTTCAGCCGCTTCTTCCTCAGAGACACCATCTCATAGAGCTGACGCTCAATCAACCCATCTGCCTTCTTCTCATCCAGCCAATTGCTGCAGGGGAAAGTCTGCTGGATGCCGGTGAAGGGGCATAGTATCACCACCTAGGAGGGCAGAGCACATGCGTCTCCTGTGTGAGGTCCACTGGTGGGGCCGCTCAGTGCTCGGCAGCCTCCCGGGACACATGTGTCTGTGTTAGGACCTCCAAGGGATGATACTTTCCATCTTACTTTCTCATTAAATCTTAATTTAAAAAAATACCTCTTTCAAGAATCTTTTGCAGATAGAAAATTAAATACTTTTTAAAAAATTATTATTTGAACGAGAAGTCTTTCATGGTAGCTGTCATCACTAGTTTTAGCCTAAAAATGCAACACAGAGTTGGCTAAGCATTAGAAAGCGCATTCATCCAGTGCACAGCGTATCAACTTAAGAAAGGAGAAAGATCACAGGACTAACTCACAACGAACAGAAAACAGCCATAAACAGAATTCAACACTAGCTCAGAAAACAACTCTTAACGTGGAAGAAGTAGAAAATAATGCATTTAATCAGTTTAATAACATATACCAACCTCCTCAAACATAATTAGCTAAATAAAACTAGTTGCTTTTAAATAATAAACAAAGGCTGGAGGTGCAGCTCAGTGGTAGAACTTAGCACGCATAATACCCTAGGCTTTATGCACACACACACAGACATGCACAAATATGTACACTCAGACACACACAGAGACACACAGACACACATATGCACACATACATGTGTGTGCACATACACAATTAGAAACAAAACAAAGACATACACTATTCCGTTTTCTGTTCAGCATGCTACTGTAGATCGTAGGCTATGTACCCATAGTTTTAAAAGAAATGGTAAAGCCTCTCTGTGGTAAGGAGCCTGAAAACCAACCAAGTTATGGGAGGACTTGCTGGCAGAGAAAACCTTCAAAGAATGTATAGAAAAATTATTAAAATTAACACACAGCTTAAAAGATGGTTCTATGTAAACTCAGCGCATGGAAAGGTACTTGATCAGTAACAAATATAAATGATCATTTGTAAGAGTGCTTGTGACAATACAAATTGTAAGATCTATACGATTGCTCCTGACAAAGACATACACTGTGTTGAGGAAGACATGTAAAACTACATTGAAAAACAGTTTTAAAGACCTGAATTTTAAGAAGTACACCATTCTCATAGATAAGGTAAGTTGGCATATTAAAAAAAATTAGTTTTCTCAAGGGACTCTGTAGATCAGTGGTTCTCAACCTGTGGGGTCATGACTCCTTTAGGGTTTACATATCAGATATCTTGTATATCAGTTACTCACACTATAATTCATAACAGTGGGGAAATGACAGTTATAAAATAGAGAAAAGATAATTTTATGGTTGAGAGTCAGCAGAACATGAGGAACTGTGTTAAAGGGTTGCAGTGTTGGGGATGATGGCAATCACTGCTGCAGATCCAGTTAGCATTTCATTAATTTAGGGAGAGCCTAAAATTCTTCTGGGATATTAAATGATGGCAGACATCCATCTGCCCTTTAATAAAGGAGGAGGTGGCACTTAATTTGTTCCAGCAGAAATAGTACAAATGTATAAAATGAAGGCAAATGAATGCAGTGTTGGTGAAGAAATTTATTAAATCAATTCGTGGAACAGAGTAGAAAGCAGAAAGGAGTTGTGGTTTTGTTTGTCTGTCTGTTTTGGAAAGCACTGATTTTACTTTCAATGGAAAAAAATCTTGATTTCCCACTGAAACTTAATCATTGCTTCTCAAGCTTCCTTAATGATAAGAATTATCAAGTAAATCTTGATGGTTCTGGTCTGTGGTCGTAGTTATTAGGGAGTCTACCAGGGCTGCAGAGTGAGTTCAAAGCCAACCCAGGAAACAATGAGACTCTGTCTCAAAACTTATAAAAGATATACAGAAAGGGAGAGAGAGAGAGAAAGGAGAAAGAGAGAGAGAGAGAGAGAGAGAGAGAGAGAGAGAGAGAGACTGAGAGAATACCATTGTGCAACTGTACAACATTTTCTTTATCCATTCTTTGGTTGAGGGACATCTAGGTTGTTTCCAGTTTCTGACTATTAGGAATAAAGCACCTATGAGCGTAGTTGACCTTGTGGTATGGTGGAGCATCTTTTGGGCATATGCCCAGGAATAGTATAGCTGGGTCTGGAGGTAAAACTATTCCCAATTTTCTGAGAAACAGTCAAATTGATTTCCAAAGTGGTTGTACAAGTTTGCACTCCCACCAGCAATGGAGGTGTGTTCCGTTGCTCCACGTCGTCATCAGCCTGTGCTATGACTTGAGGTTTTAATCTTAGCCATTCTGACCAGTGTAAGTTGCAATCTCAGAGTGGTTTTGATTTGCATTTCCTTGATGACTAAGGATGCTGAATATTTCTTTAAGTGCTTCTCAGGCACTAAAGACTCCTCTGTTGAGAATTCTCTGTTTAGCTCTGTACCACATTTTTAAATTGGGTTATTTGGTTTGATGCTGTCTATTTCCTTGAGTTCTTTATATATTTTGGATATTAACCCTCTGTCAGATGTAGGGCTGGTGAAGTCTTTTCCCATTCTATAGGCTGGCTATTTTGTCCTATTGATGGTCCTTGGCCTTACACAAGCTTTTTTGTTTTATGAGATTCTATTTATTAATTGTTGATCTTAGTGCCTGAGCTATTGGTGTTCTGTTCAAAAAGTTGTCTCCTGTACCATTGTATTCACAGCACTTTCCCACTTTCTCTTCTATGATATTTAGTGTGTCTGGTTTTATGTTGAGGTCTTTGATCCACTTGGACTTGAGTTTTGTGCAGGGTGATGAATATGGACCTATTTACATTCTTTAACATGCAGATATCCAGTTAGACCAGCACCATTTGTTGAAGTTGCTTTCTTTTTTTCCATTGTTTAATTTTGACTTCTTTGTCAAATATCAAGTGTCTGTAGATATGTGGGTTATTTCTGGGTTTTCTCCTCTATTCCATTGATTAAACCTCACAGTCTTCCTCCTGTCCTGCTTGGTGGACACACACACACACACACACACAGGATTTATTAGAATAGCTAACAGGCTGTGGTCCCACCAGCCCAACAACAGCTGTCTACCAACAGAAAGTCCAAAAATCCAGTAGTTTCTCAGTTCACAAGGCTGGATATCCTCAGCTGCTCTTCAGTATACACTCGAATTCCAAAGAAGTAGGCTCTAATGCCAGTAAAGGAATGGATTTGACAGAGAAAGAGGGAGGGGAGGAGGGAGAGGGGAAGGGAGAGAGAAGGCAAGCAAGTAAAGAGCAAAGAAAGAACTTCTTCCTTGTCCTTTACACAGGCTGCCACCGGAAGATGTGGTCCAGATTTAGGGTGGGTCTTCCTACCTCAAATAATCCAGTTAACTAAAAATCCCTCATAGCTATGCCCAGCAGCTTGTGTCTTATTTAGTTAATTCCAGATGTAGCTGAGTTGACAACTGAGAACAGCCATCACAAGGATACAGGGTAGAGTTTGTCTTCAGGGTTAATGAAGAACCCACTGACCCAGAGAACGTTCATAGGCTGGCCCCTTACCTTCTCACAGTACCAGCCTCGGTTGACGCCTATGTTGCCATGCCCAATGGAGACCCGGCTCAGGGGACTGAGGAGGACAGCCAGGTCGATATGGAAGATGTCTGTGCGGCCCCTGTCAAACACGCCACCCTCCAGGAAGATTTTCCCACTGTTCTTGTTTCCTCGGGCTCCAAACATCACCAAATAGATTTTTGATTTAGTTCCAGCTCCCCGGATATCCCCAGTGAAGACAGTGACAATGTAGGTTATGGCTGGTGTGGAGAGAAGGGCAGAAAGGGTTCAAAGTGGTTTCACTGGAACATCCCTCTGTCTCCATCTTTGCTACAACACTGCTCTCCCACACATGCCCATGGCGAGCCCCGTGTTTTATGCACTCAGACCAGTGTCCCTCACAACCTCATTTGGTTTACAATATCATGTTAGTATATATGAGGCTGGGGGTGAGCTGTCTCTATCATCTCAGGAAAACTGTCAGCACTCATTACGGGAAACAAAGACAGGAAGAAAATTGAGCTGACTAAAAATAGTACTTATTATTAATGTTAATTACCATGTGTACATTATTAATAGCTGCCAGATAAATTCTGTTATGTCTAATCTAATTATAATAGTCAAATCCATTGATGGAGATTTATCTCTGGCCTATCTGGTTCATACGGTTCTTTTTGCTGAAAAATATAACTTTTGAGAAGGGTCACTAACATCTTCCCGATCCCCCTGGGCTGAGGAAGAGGGAGGGATCACAATAAGGCAGGTCAGCTTGGGTTTTGATCAACCAGGTGGTATTGTGAGCCCGCAGAAGTCGGCAGAAAAACCACCAAGTGCTAAGTAAACTCCTAAGTAGGGCAAAAGGAACAAAGAACAAGCACCAACATTTGAACCAGAAACTCTGTTAAGGGCTTGCTGGCATCCTTTTAGCCTGTCCCAAGGCTTAAGAACAGGGAAAACAGTAAACAGGGCAGGAATAGGAGAAGGGGCAGGCAGGGAGATGAGGATGCCCAGAAGAGCAGAAGGAATGGGTGTTAGGAAGGGTGACTCAAGGGCAGATGCAGCAGGGGGGGCAGAGGAGCTGGGAAATGGCAGAAAGTAGTGTTGTCTCCTGATGAGGAAACTGGAGCCAATTTGTGGTGTAATCTTCACATTACACTACAAAACTCTGGCTGTATCTCCAGTCAGGGGAACGATGGACTTCAGCAGAGGGCAAGTTCTCAGATATGTACAGCTGTGTGAGTCTTCTAGAACCTCAGTGACTGCCTCAGACAGGCTGAGGGGTGGAAGTTTTCTGTGGAGTTTACAGAGAAGAGGACTTCAGGAGGCAGATCAAAGTCCAAACAAAGTCTGCCTTCGACGAGCTATGTGACCCTGGACATCTTTCTGAACTTCTACATGCCTCAGTTTTCTCGTCTGTGAGTTGGGAACAAGACAATGCCTGTGTTGTAGGTGGCTGTAAAGATTAAATAAAATGTAAGAGGGTTACAAATTCTCCTTCTGGCTTTCTCCTTTAGTTCCTTCTACCCATAGCTAAGAATGTCAGGCCGTTGCTCCGTCTGCTCGGGCATCAGAAGCGTTGGCTGCAAAGCAGAGAGCTAGAGCATTTTCTAGGGCAGTGAAGATGCTGTCTTCAAACCCAGCTGCCTCCTGTTTGATCACAGTTGTAAGCCACAGACACAGGTACTGACTCTCAAGAAGAAAGGATGGTCCAGCGGGAGCCCCGCCTCTCCCCAGCCCTACCTGTGGTCTCAGCTCCACCCACTAAGATGTCTCTCTGGATTTTGCCATCATCTTCATCCAGCGCCAGCCAGCGGTTAAGGGGGAAGTCGTATTTCCTTTTGTTCCCTATATCTTCAATGATGATCTGAGAAGGAGAAGACAGGAACAAATGAGCTTAAGTGTCATTGAGGGCATGCCTGGTGATCTACGGTCCCGTCTAGTCAGGAGTGCGCTCTAAGAAGGCACTTGAAGCTCCTCGCACCTCAAGGAGAGCTTGTCACCGAACACAGCTGCTACTAGGAAACCCTCAGAAAGCCATCCGGGGATGATCGGCAACCTCCTGTACTTGAATCTCAGCCACTAATCCTCCACTGCCTCAAGTCATTTCAGAGAATTGAAGCAAAGTGTATAAGGATACGCTCAGTGAGCTGCGATGAAAGGGGGCGGGGCTGGATCTGAGAGCTGGCGTATCAGAGAATTGCTTCTCTCTGTTGAAGGTTGGACTTCTGACCTTACTGATGAGAAGCACAGTCTGTGCAAATGGGAACTGTGCGCGGAAACCAGGGCAGGGAATCCTGGGACATGGTGGTCACGTTAGAAAACATCAACAGCTGCCAGGGAGGCAACTCTAAGCGGCCATAGATGAAGTTTCCCCACCAAAACTATAAGCTGGGTTGGTGAAGCTGTGTTTTCTAGAACATACTGAAGTGCTGAAAATACCTTCCAAATGCGCCTTTTGGACCCAGCTATGAAACAGGACTGGAAAGACAGACATACTCTGTGATGAACAGTGGAAACATAAGCAGTAAGGTGTTCTTTCTTCTGTGGTGTGTGTGTGTGCACGTGTGTGTGTGTGTGTGTGTGTGTGTGTGTGTGTGTGTGTGTGTGTTGAAAAGCAAAAGTTGTTATTTGGAAGGAATATTCTCAATCTATCAACAAGCCCATAAGAAAAGATCTTCTGAGAGGCAAGTTCTTTTGGTGAGACTGAGTCCAGAGAAGGAACCTGTCCATGTTGAAGCCAACTATATTCAGTGACTGGAGAGACATATCACATTGCAAGGAAAGACTTCCCAATGTGGAGGCCAAAGAGGGTAAGACACCCCCTAAAATGTAGCCAAAAGAACAAAACTGCCAGACAGGGGAAATGTCTTGTTTATCTTTCCTAAAATGGGCCACAGATACATCAAATGACCCTGGGCTACAGTCTTCACTTCCTCCCACATAGGCTCAGAACGCCTGAGTAAACAGGTGTTGTTGAAGTGACTTCAAGTGGCCTTGAAGTCACTATGAAGTGTCAGCTGCAACTAAGTACTCTCCCCAAGCAGTACTGGATTAACTTCCATCACTCGTACACAGCCTGATTGGGTAGGGTTCTGTTCTGCACAGATGAAGGGAAACACACACACACACACACACACACACACACGCACACACACACACACACACATACACACTCACAGAGAAATTAGGAGGGTCCGGGGCTTCATAGAGCCTTGAAGGATAGTTAGGCTCTGGCTGGCTCAGACAAGAGAAGTAGGATTCTAGAAGTTTTAACAAGGTCAGTCTTGGAGGCAACCCGGAGGTCAGCATGGATGGCCAGTGGACTTAGGCAAATGTAGAGTAGGAAGTTTCAGGCCTCTGAAGAGCCTGGCTTTCCCCTCCCATGCCTCAGAAGTAGCAGATAAGGAGCCGAACTTACCTTGGACAGGAACCAACCTGCAGACCCCCCCTTGTTGTTGTGGCCCACATTGATCTTCATCAGCTGCCCCAAATCCGGCGCATCCAGCATGAACTTGTCTTCAGCTCCCTTTTCAAAGTTGTCCTTTTCATTTTCCAGCCTACGCTCCCCTAAATGCACAGGAGCAAGAAAGTTACAAAAAAAAGAAAGAAAAAAAAGAAAAAAAGAAAAAAAAGAAAGAGGAGACGAGAAGAAAGAAGAACCAGAAGCCTTAATGGTCCACCCACTGAAAGAGCTCTTACAAAGTCAAGGGCAGCTCCCTACTGGGATCTAACAGCTCCTTACATCCTCCAGCCTTGGGGAAATCTCAGTTTGCCTCCTATGTGGCTGGTTCCCGAGTCTCATAACTAGGTTTCTCATTTCAGCTTTATTCTGCAGTCTCTGCCTCTGTGAACCAAATTGTACTCCTATCCTAAGACTCGGGATCTCATCTGCTTTTGCCCATTGCTTGTCCTGAACGAGAGCAGTGAGCATAGCATTTGGTATAGGGGCTGCTGCTGGGATCCTGGCCCCCTTTGCGCAGCCCTGTCCTGGACACAATGCCTGCAGCTAGTAGCAGACACTGTGTCTGGCATGGAGCTTTCTCTCTTACTCCTCACTACTATCCAACAGGGATGCACTATTAACTTAGTCCTGCAAATGAAGAAACCGAGACTTAGAAATTAAATCATTCATCCAGAGTCATGGGCAATGAACACAGAATTTAGAGTCCTGTTCTAACCAGTCTCTCTGTCTTGCCCTTCTCCATAGCCACATTCCTGTGATCATGGGTGTACAAAGTAGTCTTCCTGGTGCCATCAAAGCGTCAACTTTTCCGCTCAACTATTCCCATGGTTTCTCTTTTTCTAAATTTACATTTTGACCTCCAGAAATATAGAAAATAATTACCAGTGTTCAGGTACCCACCACCCAGATGTGAGGGGTGTAGTAGTTGCTAACATTTTGCCTAGTTTGCTTCCTACCTTTCACAGTTTAACAAAAGATTTATTTGGTTTTATTTTATGTGCATGAGTGTTTAGCATGCATGTGTATAAGCTCACTTTGTGTGTGGCTGGTGTCCAAGGGAGACAGAAGAGGGTGCTAGAAGCCATGGAACTGGAGTCATAGAGGGTTGTAAGCAACCATGTGGACGTTGGGAACAGAACCTGGGTCCTCTACAAGTGCAGCAAGTGCTCTTGAGCCCTGCGCCATCTCCCCAGCCCCAAGACCTTTCAGTTTGTCTGGTTTATTTAAGGATACAAACTCAGTAGCTATGTCTACGGAGTCCTAGTTCATTTCCCCCTCCTACTCTGCCCCTCACCTCGGCATGTACCATCCCAGAATCCTTAGCACGTGTATGCATCTCTAAGAGACACAGGCCACTTGTGGCTGTTTCTGACTTCTACATAAATGATAGCATGGTGCGCGTCTCACAGCCTCAAAGTCCTTTATCTTCACAGTGGGGCTGACAGAGTGACTGTTGCAAGGTGTCTGTGAGTGAGATCTGCTGCATTTCCACACACTGGGCAGCCCCAGAACATAGCAGGCACCATGACAGAGGCACTGCTGGAGGGGTTGCTACCGTTCCTCTGCTGTCATCTCTGCGGGCCTTTCAGGAGAATCCTTTCAGTCACCAGAAGTTTGTTGACCCTGTGGATGCTGGTGACGGTCTACTCTTTAACTGCCCTACCAGAGCCAAGTGACAAAAGGTACAACTCTACTTTCTTCTCTTGGTGTACAAATGTTTCAGAACGTACTACCGAAAATATCACCGAGATGGACAATTTTATGCCGTTCCTCTGCACACTGTTAAAATCTGTGCTACACACACTGTGCATGGATGGTCGCTAAACTGGTGTACGGTCAGCTTTAGTTTGTCAGGCAACACTGCTCTCCAGAATGGGTGTGTGGTGTAAATTTCCACCAGCACCCCACTGCACATAACCACTATTAGCATCTGTATTTTAAAGTTTTATTCTGTGTAGGATGGCATCTCATTGTGGTTTCAGTCTGTATTTCCTTACTTTTTTGAGAGATTGAACTTATGACATATATACATAAATTCTGTGTCGTTTAGGCAATATGCATCAGTCATTTTTATTCTAATTTGTTCGCTCAATTTTTATTGATTTATTCTTTGATATGTTGCATTCAGACCCAGTTTTCCCTCCCTCCTCTCCTTCCAGTCCCTCCTCCCCATCCCCATCTACTCGTTCTCCATTTCCCTTTAGAAAAGGATAGGCCTTCTTCCATCTTTTAAAAATTTTTATGCTATTTTGTTGTTTATTTTCTTTGGTGTGTGTGCATACACAAATGTGTACATAAATGCACACATATATGTGTGCACACATGTGTGCATGTGAGTACGTGTATAAATGTTCATGTGTGCTTTGGGTAAATTTCATCTGTAGATTAAAGTTAATTCACGCTATCTGAAAATGCCTTTCAAAATTTCCAATAGTTTTCCACATTTAAGTCTTTAGCCATTGGGAAGCTATTTTTGTACACTGTCAAAGATTAGAATCTAATTTTGTCTTTTCCCAGAATGTTAGGCAATTGTTCAAACACCAGTAACTGAACGTCTTATCTTCGCCCTTTGGTTTATCATGCATAATGACATCCTGATAAGTATTTCTAGATTCTTTATTCTTTTCCATCGAACAATTGTATTTATCCTTCTCACACCACAATGTCCGACTTTTTAAAGATCTGTGATGGGGCTGTGAAATGGCTCCATTCATAAAGCCATTTGCTACCAAACTGGACAACATGAGTTCGATTCCTGGAACCCACAATGGAAAGCAAGAGACAATTCACAAAAGCTGTGCACCCACCTCCACACCTACACCACGCACGTGTGTTTCTTATGCAGACACTAAACCAATTGAATAAACCTAGTTTAAATTTTTAAATATCTCCACCATCTTAATTTCTGACAGGGCAAATCTCTCCCATTAGTCTTATCTTTCCTACTATTTTCTGTTTTTATAAATTATATCTATTAGTTTCGCATGTGTGAGAAGCATCCTCACTGTGGTACACATGTGGAGGTCAGAGGTCAACTTTCAGAAGCCAGGTCGGTTTGTTTCTTTACCGTGTGGGTCCCAGGGATCGAACTCAGTTGTCCTATTTGGCAGTGAATGCTTTTACCTGTTGAGTCATCTCACCAGCACAGTTTTACTGTTTTCATTTCTCAAGATTATTTTGGCAATATTTAGCTCTTTATAGGTCTACATTTTAATAGCAGTCTAAGCTTTGGTTGTTGGCTTTTAGGAACTTTTCTGAAATGCTATTATTCTTCTATAAAAAGAACCAGGAAATGTGACATCTTAGTAAGTTTCAGTCTTCTCCCATTCGTGGGTACTTCTTTTCTTTTATTTGTATACTGTGTTTCCCAGAAAGCTCTTTCTTTAGAGTCATTCTTATGTGCTAATTTCTAATGTAAAAGGTATGTTTTTATACTAAACATTTGGGGGTTTTTTCTTTCATAAATGAATATAACCTATGTATTTCTCTCTCAACTTTACCTGCATAGTATTTTCCCATTGCTTCTCTTGGATTGACTGAATGTTTGGACCTTGAATTCATTCTACCAATTTATGGATTATACATTTTTACTTTGGGTGTTTACTTTTATAGTTTTTATATTCACACTTAGCTTGATGAAGTCTACAGTTCATAGCCAAATTCTTAAATTGAACTAGATGCATTGTCTCTTTTTATTTTCCTTCAAATAATTTATAGAGGATGGACAGTAACTATTTCTTAAATATTTGTTAGAGGTTTTTAAATATATACAATTTGTGGGTCTGAAGTCCTGGGTAATTTTGAATGGATGTTCTCATTGTTTTAGTATTGTAAACTGGCTTCTGCAAGGCCCTGAGACAATCAAACCCATATCCTATGAAGGATGCTGAGATAAAAGGCCAGGTTATGGCATACAGTGGCATTCACAGGATGTGGACACCAGTTTCTTATCATGCCAAGGGAGAACCTTGTGCTTTCCCAGGTCTGAATGCTAACACAGAAAACTGGGATTCTTCCAGGTCCGTTCTCGTGAGACTCCAACTCCCAGCCCAGCGCAGACAGAAATGCTTCTCTGATGATGTAGCTTGAAGATTCCCAGCTCCTAAGCTAATAACCCTCTCTAATGTCTGCCATCTTGCTTCGCTGCACGCTTCCAAGATGATCTAAAATGGGGCAGTTATCAGAGGTGGCCACACCTGCTCAGCACTGTTAGCATCCTGAAACATTCTATTTCAGATGATGATGATGGCAATGGTGATGGTGGTGATGGTGGTGCTGGTGGTGGTGGTGGTGATAGTGATGATGGTGGTGGTGCTGGTGCTGGTGCTGGTGCTGGTGGTGGTGGTGGCAATGGTGCTGGTGGTGGTGCTGGTGGTGGTGCTGGTGGTGGTGCTGGTGGTGGTGCTGGTGGTGCTGGTGGTGCTGGTGATGGTGGCGGTGGCGGTGGTGCTGGTGGTGCTGGTGCTGGTGGCGGTGGCGGTGGTGGTGGTGGCAGTGAAAGTGATAGTGATGATGATGTCAGCACTATGCCTTTCTTTACTTCTAACAAACTAGTTTGCCTACATCCTGACAGTGATAGACATGGATACATGATAGGTAGTGTTCATCTTCTGATGATGGTTATGGATAGTGTTGACCCAGCTTCTTTCATGTTGGTGATATTTTCCCAGAATTCTTCATGTTGCTTGATTCATTTCCAAATTTCGCCTTTCATGTATTTAAGCTGGATTTTTATTTATTTTTATACACTGTGAGAATATCTTTATGAAAGAGAATCGTGTTAAGAGCTCAGGTTGGCCTCAAACTCCAGTTCTCCTGTCCCTCCCTCAAAGTGCTGGGATTCTAAATGTGCCTGGCAAGACTATTGATTCTTCACTAACAAGTTTTCCTACTTCTGTGATAGTCAATGTATGTACTTCTGCTGTCAGCCATGTTTCCCCATTGCTTCTCTTAGATTGACTGAAAGTTTGGACCTTGAATTCATTCAAGGATTGAATCCATTTATGGATTATACGTTTTTACTTTGGGGTTTACTTTTATAATTTTAATATTCACACTTAATGAAGTCTACAGTTCATAGTTTTAACTACTCCGAAGGTGGGGAGATGGGTAATGGATAAATTCTTCATAATGTCTTATCAATTTTCTACTCATATCTCAATCGTCAATATCTTGGGTAAATATTTCCTCTGTGTTAGTCACTGTTATGTTTTGTGGTTGGTGCTTGCTTAGGTTTGTTACATGGCTATCAATATTTTGTTTACTTTTGTGTGTGTGACAGAGTCTTTCAGCATATGTGAGGTAGGCTGACCTTAAACTCAATATGTAGCCCAGGCTAACCTAAAACTCCTGTTTCTATTGCTCCAGTGTCCCAAGTGCTAGGATCTATAGGCAAAAGCCACCACATTGAGCAGTCCATCCTAGTGGCCGCTCAAGCATGAGCGTAGGACATATATCTTGTCCATTCCTCTTTCGAAGAATAAAAATTTGTTAATTTTCCCCATTACCTGAAATGACAGCTTATCTGTTGTGGAATGTATGGCTGACATATGTCCTTGAAGAAAATATTAAAGGTGTGAGTACATGAATTTACAACCTCTGTCATTGGTGATGGGATTTATCCATCCGCCTGAGTGGAATTTTCACAGAAAGTGACCTGCCAGCTTTGCTTCCTCTCAGATTTTTCTCTTTACTTTTGGTTTAACAGGGTAAGATAGATTCCTTCATAGACTCTAGTCCATGAGTCATTTAGCTACCTTAAGCTGACAATTCAGATCTACTGGGTCTTAAAAACACTTCCGGCCATTGTCTCTTGGAATATTTCTTCTTGCCTGTGCCCGGCATCCTCTGTCTCTGGACCAACCTCTCTCAGACCTCCCTCCTTTCCCTGCTCTCCTGTCTCCTTCCCAACCCTTTCTCTCCATCTGAGGGGTTTGCTCATAGACTTGCAGGTCACTAATCCTTTCTTCGGCATCTTTACTTGCAGTGCACCTCCAAGGCACTTACCTTTAGCGGCCATGTTTTTACTTCCTGGGGTTTTGTTTGGTTATTTTTCCTAATGTGCTGTTTTTAATGGTGCAGTGCTTTCCTTGGTTCCTTCTTACATGTTGTTAACAGTTTAAATTTTTTTAACTGACAGGCTATCCCAATACCACTCTGAAAGCCCTGGGGATTTCATTCTGATTGCTGTGTGAATTACACCTTCATCACGGTGGGTTGTGTCCTTAAGTGTTTCATAGTTTTGGAAAAAAAAAACTCACTCTAAAGCTTCATTCATGGGAATCATGTACAGTCTTAGAAAGGCCTTTATGAGTGTTAATGGAGATTCACTCACTATGAACTAAACATTCTTTTTTAGTTTTGTTGCTGTTTGAGACATGGTCTCATTATACAGCCCTGACTGACCAGGAGCTTACTGTGTAGACAAAGTTGGCCTGGGACTCTGAGACATCAGCCTACCTCTACCTTCTGAGTGCTAGAATTAAATGTTCATGCCATCACATCCAGCTTAAACCAAGTATTCTGTGTAGGGCGAGAGGGGTTCTGAAGTCATAAATCTAGCATAAGAATCAGACCTCAGGTCCCTAAGTAGCATAAATTTTCAGTTGTTTTTGTTTTAACTTCAAGTTTTTGCAGAGAACCAGTGACTGTGCCCACGCACAAGCCATTGGTCTGCTTTTCACTAGGGCTGTCTCTGAGACTCTCTGGGGATCCTGGCTTCGTGCATGGTTCTAACTTCAATCTCTTGCCTCATTCAGGACCTGAAACTCACATTCTGACCCCCAGTGAGCACAAAAACCTGTCTTCTAGATTGATGAGGATGAAAGCCCCCTCCTTGTGAGAGCTACAGGATCGATTCATAGCTAGTACTCTGGTTTTTGTTTTGAGTCTCTCCTTTATGTCTGGAAACTGAAGAGTTCTTTTTCATTCCTTATAAGTTCAGCAATACATGTTAAATTCTCTGATGTATTCTACCCCAAATTCACACATCTCTGTAACTTTTCTGGTTTCTGTGTTATTTCAATAAATTGGCAGAAGTACGAGAAAACCACCTGTCCCAGCCTGAGACCTGAACTTCCTCCCAGTACCTGTAGCTGTATCTGTGTGCAGTTTCTGCTTCACCTGGGAGACCAAGGTCTATTCTATTCCTTAGTCCACTCTGGTCCATCCCACATCACTATACTGAATTTTACTACATCCCACAACCGACCACATGAGGACAGAACTTACAGCAATAAAGAAATTAAGAATGAGTTCCTGGGGATGTGAAATTCGGGTTTGTCCATAGTTTAGGATGTGATTTTAATCAATCTAAACCCGGGAATATCTTATTCTGCAAATCACACCACATACACTGAGAGAGGGGAGGAGCAAGGGGGGGGTGAAAACCTGTCACACATACATACATTTGACCACTAAGGTAGATACCCTACTGTTGGTACAAACCATAGCAAATCACAGCACAAGAAGAGAAGAGAGATGTTCAACAGAAAGAAAGAAAGAGGAAGCTGAATTATAAGAGGCAGCCACTCTAGGGAGCTGTACTGGGTGTTACTTGTGAGGAAATGACCCATTACCTGTGTCTCCATACTCTCCAAAGATATTGATAAAGACATCAGCATCTGTCCCTGCACCAATCACGTCACCAGTGTATACCTTGATTTCATACTTGTTTCCTGGGAACAAGGACAAAGAAAGTGTTGCCTCATTAGGATCCCAAGAAAAGAAAACTAGAGGTGCATAGATAGCTTCTGGACCATCCATCCTTCCCACAGATGTCCATAAGATAATGAATTATCAGCATGGCTGTCACTATCATTACTGTCAATATCAAGGCAAAAAGAAGTCACTCAAGGTTGGCTACAAAAGGTCATCACTGAACTCTAGGTAATACCTAAGTCATAGGAGAAGGAGAGCCTCTGTTTTCATCTAACACGTCCCCTACCATGTCTCCTCTGAGCTACTGAGATGACGCTGAGTTCTCTACACACCTATCACTGCTTTCTGTCTGTTTTCCACACTGTAAAACAATACTGATGTGCACTGAGGAGATTGGATTCTGCAAGTGAAAATAAAATCTATGTCTATCAAGGCCATAGACAACACAGAGATTGAACTAAAATCAACAGTGAGCAGCAAAACACAAGTTAAAAAAACCGACATCTGCTTCCTGTGTTATTGCTGCACTCACTGGACAAAAATCAATTCATTGTAACCCCAATGCAGCCTCAGTCATAGCCTCCAATAGGGTAGGGTCAACACATACTTGAGAGCATGCTGAGCTCTGGTTAGGTCTCACCATCAGGAGCCTACCTTAGGGTAGAAAATAAAGGCCAGAAGATAATGTGTCTGGTTAGGACAAGGAGATGCTTCCAGATTTTCTTAGATGGCAACAATATTGAGGTCTAAGATAACTCTCTCTTCCCTTTTCCCTTCCTACCTGGCTTTCTAGTTTACAAAGTCATTCCTATCAGATATGCTATGCCCAATTTGCTAAGCTGATTAAAAACTAGCGATTCTAGCCAGGACCCAGAATGCTGGCCCTTCAGCTCACTGCTTCCCTAGACTCTTCCCTGACCTCCATCTCCAGCTTCCAAAGCTGCCTTTTCCAACTCTGCTGATGTCTGTGTGATGGCATTGAGTTTTCCCAAGGTTGTGTGGTTTGTAAGAAAGACCTTTGTTAAATCTTGTCCTGTCTACTGTTGCCTGAATCCAAGTTACTCATTTCCTCTAAAACTTAAAAAAGGGGATACATGGATACATTCAGGACATTTTCCTTCCCACCCTACCTGCCTTCCTCCTTCTTCCCCCTTCCCTCCCTTCTTCCCCCTTCCCTCCCTTCTTCCCCCTTCCTTCCCTTCTTCCCTCCTTTCTTCTTTCCCTTCTACACCCCCTAGTGTACTGCTAAACCTACAGGCAGCATGTTGGAATGCAAACTGAATCCAATTTCTTGAAACTTGAAGTTCCCAGGAAGTTGTTGAGGGCAAAGGAGTAAGGAGAAAAATTCAAGCCTGCCCATTTCCCCCCTCTGGTACTCTCTGTAGCACAGGATCAGCCTGGAGAGGTGACACGTCACAGCTCCTGAAAAGGGTGTAGAGAAGACACCCCTATTCCTCCAGTGCATTTCAATTGCTCTTTGCTGGTGAGAGCATCAAGCCTATACCAGATGATGGCTCCTTTCCACAAACCTCACTCAGCAAAGCCCACAAAGGAAGGGGTAGGAGTCCTCTGATCCTGTGGAGCAAACTAGAAACAACACCAGTCTTTAAACTCTCAAAGCTTGTCTCTGGTGGCTTAACTCTGCTAACAAGTTCACACCCCCTAAACCTCCTCAAACAGCCCGAGTCTATGGGAAACATCTCATTCAAACCATCATACGACTTTCTCCAGTACCACTCGAGGGCTCCCTGAGCCTGCTTAGTGATGGCAAGATGGCAGATCACTGCAGCTGGTGATGCCAAGGTGGAAGCCCAAGGGCGCTTCCAAAGGCTGCTTCCAGGCACCTTGTAGTAAAGGAGAGAAAGCAGGATCTCACAAGGACCCAGGCCTTGTGGAGCAGAGGCAGGAAAAGAGAGGAAGGGGAGGACTTGTAGAAAGTGGGTTCTGAATCATTCCAGAGCACAGACTTCCATCACTGAGCCAGATGATAAGGCAGCCAGATGATAAAAACTCTTAAAGATTTTTGAATAGCAAAAAAAAAATTGCAGCTAAGGAATGGGGTGCCCTTTGGGTGAATCTCCCATCCCTGGAGACACCCAAGTAGTTACTGTATGCCACACAGTTGGGTAGAGAGTCATGTGTCAGAGACACTGTAGCAGAGATACCATTGATGAAGAAGCCAAGAGATTAAGGGAGCCATCACTTTAAAACAAAATCTGGAAAGTGTCTGATAGGAAATGTTTTAGGAATTGTAGACCATTCGATCTCCATTGCAGCACAAGGAAAGCCTGGGTTGCAGGAGCCGAAAGTGGACTACAGGAACACTGTACCTACCCATCCTCGGGAGAGTGTGGAGAGGTAGGATATTGAGCCAGAATGAAGCAAGTAGAGAGAGATCAAAGCCAGGGCCCAAGATCCCAGAACTGGGAGAAGCTTTGAGGCCTTTCCAGATGAGGTAACAATAGATCTGAGCCCAGGGATCAGGGAATGAAGTGGACACTACGGGAGGAAAGAGGCAGCCATCCTCTGGCGTCTCCGGAGCTTTCTATGTCACAATGGGGTTATGAGTCTCTAGGTGGATTCCTGGGTGCACAGCAAACTTTTGCTATTAGGTGATTGCTAATCACACCATGGAAAGAGAAGGACCACAGGGATAAGGAGGTCCTCCTTGTATCCCCATTATTTCAAAGTTCCCATCAATGGGCAGTGGGGATTTTTCAGGGCTTCCCACCTCTTCTGTCTACACACCTCCTCTGTCTACACACCTGCTCTTCAGCAGGACTTCATGCTATCTGTCAGTTTCCAAAACAAGGCCTGAGGGCACAATGTCCCGGTGCAACCCTAACAGGTGAGTCAGTGTAATACAAAAGAGGAAGTCTGAACAAAAACAAATAGCCCAGAGTGTGGAGCCTTCCTCCACAGGCAGACTGGGCCACACACGATGTTACATTTGAATGTGAAGTGTCCCCTACAGGTTTGCATTTTGAACACTTGGTCCCCAGCTGCTAGTGCTGTTTTGAAAGTTTGTGTATAATAGCCCTGACGAAGCGTGGCCACTGGGTTGCAGAAGCATGTCACTGGGGACAGGCCTTCAGAGCGATAGCTATCTGCTTGCGACTCTAACACAAGCTCTCTGCTTTCCAGTCAGCTGCTGTGTGAGGAGGTCCACCAGCCGCTCCCTGATGTCTTCCCCACCATGATGAGTTGAAATCCCCTGATCCTGGGAGCCTGTAACCTCATCCTCCTTCAAGCTAGTTCTATCAAGTGATTTGTCACAGTGAAGTCAAAAAATAACTAACACGTGGACTTTTGGATGTAGAATTCACCACAAAATTGACCCATCAATAGGAAAACCAACTTGACACCCTGATATTGTCCAGAATGAAGGGGACTGACACAGAAGGCCTGAAGAAATCCTCCCCAGAGGCCAGGAGGAAGGGTAAAGCTGGGAGAAGTTATGAAGTTACGAAGAAAGGGCTAAAGATCATGTCCCTGGCAATGCCATGACGACCCGTTTTCTTGGGTGAATGGCACTAAGCAGTCGAGAAGGACTTGACGGCTGACAAAGCTCTTGCACATCTCTGAAGTCATCTGATCCAGACAATGGTCATGTGAGACATATCGTGACAGGTACAGTTGATATTGTCATTTATAGAAATGACAAGGACAGAGCTTCAGAGGGTGAGTGACCTGCCCAAGTCACACAGCTGTGAACCATAACAGTCTCTTGACTTTGGATTCAAGGTTCTTCCAAGATTAACAGTGGTCTCCTCTGCCCTGCATGGGGTCAGTACAGTTTTCCTGGAAAGGGCCAGTTATAATACAAAACACATATTTTAGGTGTTTACAGGCCATATGGTCTTCGTTACAATGACTCCATCCTGATGCTATGGCACAAACTCAACCATATGCTTCCGACCAGGGGTGGGTGAGGAGAGTTGACCACAACGGAGCAGAAGGAACTTTCTAGATGACAGAAACACTTTGCTTGTGGTAGTGGTTATGTGACTATATACCTTTCACCAAATTGTGAAACAACACTAAATGGACAGGTGTACATGAACCTCAATAAAGCTCTTTACAGAGTTTCTGTAAGTAGCTACAGACCATACTACATGAACAAAATGGGTACAACAGTGTCCCAATAAAGTTTTCTTTGTTACAACTTCATTGGAATCTCAGAATTTGGTGTAGCATGAGTAGCATTCCTCCTTTTGCTTCATCTATCTATCTATCTATCTATCTATCTATCTATCTATCTATCTCTATCTCTATCTCTCTCTCT